CAGAATGGCGACTGGGGCATGAATGTCTAAGATAAAGCCCTTGGTTACATCCTGGAATTCTAGTTAAATCACAGGTTGCTTTAGCCTAAATAAAGTAATTGGTGGCCTGTTGGACTTGGTGTAACATTAAAGAACATGCTCTAGCTACTGTCTTAAGCAGACCAAGACTGATAACATTGTAAAAACTGTGGGCTAGGCTGAAGGAGAAATATAGGCAGCAGGTAGCAAAAGTGGACTTGGGGCGGGCTGGCTGCTGCCTGCTTAAGTGGGAATGAACAGAGACAGAACTTTGGTCAAGTGAATAGTGTAGCCCTATCATAAATTAAAAAATACCCAGGTTAACGTGGATGGGGTAGACATGGTTCACAGTTGCCTAAGCAAATCATAGCTTCATCTGCAAAAGTTTTAAAGTCTCTAGAAATTATTTCCTACCATAAACTTGAGAATATAAAAATGGCTGGAAAAGGATTCTGAGTATTTTGATAATGCAGCTTCTGTAACCAACGTGACGCTTTTTGATAAGAAGAAAAACCTGGGCAAACTGTCTCTCCCCTTAGCCTGTGAGCTATTTTCCTTACAATTACTTTCTCTGAAAGCAATATAACAAACATTAAAAAGAACACTAGAGTCCAGGATGGTCCAGAAAGAATAAGGAGAATAGGAATAAGGAGACAAGGAATATCATTTGAGTGAATTTATCACATAAAAGACCACATAGCCCGCTTAGAATAGTAAGTTGAGGCTCTCAGGCCAAACTGAGAGATGCCAGTTCCCTTATGAATAGTTCAATTAAGGCAACTGAATTAGCAGTAGGCTATAGAAAACCCCACTAAACTTGAATGCTTAGCATTCAGAGAATTCTAAGACATAGGGGGTTGTCTTTAAAAAAAAAAAAACAAAACCTGGAGTGGTTTGAAGTCATAAAACTCATCATTAAAAGTTGCTGCATATCAACGTACACACAATTATACCACTCCAATCCCTTCTACTGACTTTTGACTGAGAGGAATAAACATTGCAGCTGGTCTCTAAGCTGAAATTTCCTGAGTCAAGAATCTTTATCCTCTGTGACCTGGGAGGTAGGACAAACGCTGAGGAGGGAGGCGGGGAGAGGCTTCCAGTGAAGTCATCATTTATGTCTGGAACACTGAGGCAGTTTTATTGTACCTTACCAGGCACTTGTGGGAAGCATGGCCTCCTCTGGGAGACCAGGCACTGAGGCTGTGCTGGAGAAAATGGTTACAGGAGAATGATGGAAGGCATTATTGCTCTCAGAAATGAAGGGACAGAACATATTTGGCAAGGAAAAAATGACTTTCTTCAGTGAGATCCTATATAACTGTGTTTTAAAGTTAATTTTCTCTCCAATATCCCCTTTTGCTTCTGCTTGAATTCAAGGAAATAAACTCAATTGTCATTTGTTAATATTGGTCATTCATTCTTTCTTTGGGTGCCTGCTAGATGCCTGGCATTGTTCTCAGCATGGGAAGCACCAGGGGGAATAAAACAGAAGAAGATGGCTTCATCAGAGGATCCTATGAAATGGATATGGAATTGTAAATGAAGATAACTGTTCTCAGGAAAGACACCAATGGGTATAGAGTGGAAATTTAACCTAGACTGCTAGGGGGCAGGGTGCAGATAAGGCTTCCCCAGCAGACTCATGGACTAGGTAGGCCAAGGGTTGGGTTGGGTTGGAGGTGAAGTCCAGGGAGAAAGGCCTTGCTGCTTATTTTAGGAACCAAAAGGCCTTTGTGATAGGAACAAAGGGAACAAGGGGGAGAGGGACCTGAGATGAGGTTGGGGGCACAGTAAAGGTTTTTAATCCTCTTTGGAAGCAGTTGATAGGTTTTACGCAGGGATTGATGCTTTCGAACTGTGGTGCTGGAGAAGACTCTTGAGAGTCCCTTGGACTGCAAGGAGACCAAACTAGTCCATCCTAAAGAAAATCAACCATGAATATTCATTGGAAGGACTGATGCTGAAGTTCCAATACTTTGGCCACCTGATGCAAAGAGCCAGCTCACTGGAAAAGACCCTGATGCTGGGAAAGATTGAAGGCAAAAGGAGAAGAAGGCAGCAGAGGATGAGATGGTTGGATGGCATCACCGATTCAATGGGCATGAACTTGGGCAAACTCCAGGAGATGGTGAGGGACAGGGAGGCCTGGTGAGCTGCGGTCCATGGGGTCACAAAGATTCAAACACGATTGGGCAACTGAACAACAACAAAGTAGGGATTTGCCATAATCAGATTTGCATGTTGAAAAAAGTCACTTACCTCAATTTGGAGAATATTTTGGAAGGGGAGCAATAGTGGATGGCGAGAAACTCTCCAGGCTGTAGTTTAGGAGAGAGTTGTTGATAGATTGTATGAAGGTGGTATGCTGGATGCTCTCTATTTGCCCTTCCAAGTTTACTCTTCACCCTCTCCATCCTGCTTTATGCTCTGAGAAGCTGAACTCTAGGAACTACATAAATAGGATCTCAGGTCCTCTGACTTCTGGTTGAGTTTGGTCAATAGGGAGCCCCTAGAGGAGACTGGAAATTTGGAGGAGAATGAAGTCAGGGTGCCATTTTTCCAATCCCTTCCTTCCTGGTTGCCTCCAGCTGGTTCTGTCTCTCAACAGATGATCATGAGTGCTATGCTGTGATAAGTCTCTCAGTCATGTCTGACTCTTGGCAGCCGCCTGCACTGTAGACCATCAGGCTCCTCTGTCCATGGGACTCTCCAGGCAAGAATACTGGAGTGGGTAGCCACTCCCTTCTCCAGGGGATCTTCCTGACCCAGGAATCGAACCCACATCTCTTCCATCTCCTGCACTGGCAGCCAGGTTCTTTACCACTAGTGCCATCTGGGAAGCCCCAACAGAAGATCATATTCCTCTCAAAGTGACCTTGTGTACATGACTCTCTTTCTAGATAACTACTTCCCCTGGTCCTCTCAGGTCTACAGGTGGTGTAGCTTTACTTTTATTTCTAAGGGTTTCTCTGTTTTCTATTTCATGTAGTTTCTCTGCACTCACTCCATTGTAAATAACCCCACCTCCAGTTATCCCAGTTTGAGTATGACATAGGTTTCCTGTTGGTACCCTCATGAACATAGGTGGTGAAGACTCTTGTAGGGAAATGAACAGATTAGAAATGTATTTAGGAGGTTAAATTAGCAGGGTTAGTGATCATAAAAAGCATTACTTATAGACATAAAAATATTACAGCAACAGTACTTTTATTTTTACCATTAACAAAATAGAAGCCATGGTCTACTAGCTGAAAATTACTTTTGTGCTCATTGTCATTTACAGGAATTCTGATTTTAAAAGCAGCAAGATTCCAATAGTGAAAAGTAGACAACAGTGATGAAAAAGTAATATTTGCTAATTCCACTTTTATCCTCTTTCTCTTCTTCTGAATTTGCCTGTTTCAGCAAGATTCCAATAGCGAAAAGTAGACAACAGTGATGAAAAAGTAATATTTGCTAATTCCACTTTTACCCTCTGTCTCTTCTTCTGAATTTGCCTGTTTTTCCCCGTCCCTAAATTTGTTGTTGAGTATCTTAATAGGAAAGCTAGTCATACAGCTCTAGATCCAAACTCTTTGCAAGAATTTCTCCAATTATCTCATCTGTTTTTCTTTATTTCTTTTTTTTTAAACATATATTCCCAGTATGCCCTAGGCTTTGTTCTTAAACCCTTTTTAATCATAGGGAAATACAAGCACATCTATTAAAAGGTTGCTTATGACCTGTGCAACTTATAAATATCTAACATTGGCCCTGCTTTTAGTGGAACTGCACATAAACCATACCAATAAATAAATCTTCCTCCATTTTTAAGTATTCCTCTTGAAGAGATGCCACAATCTTCTTTGATGACCAAAAACACCTAATGATGTTATAGTCTATGCTGCTTCCTGATTTCTGTGAGGATTAACACTAGCTCACCATTACGCTATGAATAAAAGATGTTCATTTGCTTGGAAACTTCCCAGCATTATCTGCCTTGTTTCCCCAAGTTAACTTTTTGCTTCTGTAATGGTTTCCTATTGATGCAGTAACAAATTACCACCAACTTAGTGGCTTAAAACAATACACGTTTCCCCGTTATAGTTCTGGAGGTCAGAAGTCCTAAACTAAGTTGGCATGTCTTCATTCATTCTGGAAACTTTAAGGGAGAATCTGTTTCCTTGCCTTTCTAACTTCATGGGCTACTTACCTTTGGCTCGTGGCCCCATCCATCTTCAAAGACAGCATAGTAGCATCTCTTCTTTCCTTTCTTCTCCTCCTCATCCTTTTTTTTTTCTCTCTCTCTACCTCCCCCTCTCATCTTCCACCATCATATTCTGGGTCTGTGACCCTCCTGCATCCCTTTTATAAAGAGGCTGGTGATTACAATGGGTCAATCAGGAGAATCTCCTCATTTCAGGATCCTTAACTTAATCACATCTGCAAGGTCCTGTTTGTCATGTAAGGTAACATATTCATAGGTTCCTGGGATTAGAACATGGTCATCTTGTGGGGGCTTGGTGGCTCAGCTTACTACAGCTGCATTCTTATTACTATATCCAAACACACCTTATCTTTCCCAGTTTCACCCTATTTATTCCTATTGCTTAAATGTTCTGCTATTACCTTTTCATGAGGGCTTCCCTGGTAGCTTAGCAGTAAAGAATCCACCTGCCAATGTAGGAGACGTGGGTTTGATCCCTGGATTGGGAAGATCCCCTGGAGGAGGAAATGGCAACACACTCCAGTATTCTTGCCTGGACAATCCCATGGACAGAGGGGCCTGATGGGCTGCAGTCTAAGGTGTTGCAAAGAGTTGGACACGACTGAGTGACTAAACAACAACAACATTACCTTTTCATATATAAAAATCCTTCTCCAATTCAATGGCAAATGAACAAATAATTTTAGAGTATCATGCTAGACTTAGAGATACAGTGGTGAACAAGACACTGCTAATATGCCTGTTCCCTTGGAAATATCCCCACCATGCTTACTTTTGTGGAAGGGGAGCCCCAAGGAATGGAGATGAACTCTGCATTTTTCCTAACTGCTTGTAGCTGTCGAATTCTCATTGTCCTAATAATTTCTGTCCATTAAAAAAAAAACACTTTCAACATTTCAGTGGGTCTCCTCTGTACTCTTTCCACATCCCTCATTTGAAAATCTGGTACAAAACATACTTAAATGTTTCAAATGTTACAGGAAATAAGGAGAAATGTATCAGACATTATTAATAATATCTTTTCCATCATGGGGGTGGGGCATGAGGAAGGAATATTCCTGGGTGATTTTCTTTATACTTTATTTAGTAATGTTCGACAGTGAACACATAGTTTTCTAATTAAATGAAAATACAAGATAGAAAGGCAGTTTCCAGGTCTTTAAATCCAAATTTCATAGTAACAATTAACACTGGATTTTGCATAGACCCAGAAAACAAACCTGCTTCTTAATTTAAGCAATTGCTTGTAATCAGTACTGACTCCATAATTTGTGGAGCCCAATGTAAAATCAAAACACAGATCCCTCGTTCTAAAATTACTACGGATTCCAAGACAGCAACAGCAGCAGAGCATTCAATAAAGTGTGGGGCCCCTCCTAAGTGCAGCCCTGCTTGTCATTATTGTCACACATAGATACAATGGCCTTTTCATCACATTAGGCAAAAATCTGAGAACTGGAAGTAGCTTCTACAAATTTCAGTGACGAGAAATGGGCTTTATGTGTGGTAACAACCACCTTTGCCACTTGGGTGTTTTCTTCTTTGTACAATTTTGATATGATTATTATTAATTTGTGCCTGATACCAAAATTCATTTTAAAAAAGTGAAAAATTGAGTTACCTAGATCTTTCCCCAGGGATACATATTACATATAATGCAACAAACAAATTGAAGTACAACCTTTGATGACAAGACTGAACCTCAGCGTGAGGCCTCCAGAACCCCTCACCCTCCCAAGCCTACCTTCAACAGAGTGGAATATTTTACTCAAGTGACAAACCATTTGAGTCTGGCCATTGAGTTAGAGGTTAAAATACAAGCCTCCCAAACTATGACGTTTCTTCCTGGCTCTGTGTTTAAATTACCTAGAACAGCTTATTTCATCCTGCTGTGAATGGGAAATAATTAAATTCTTCTAAGTCCCAATCTAGAGAGGTACCAAACGAAGTCAGCGCTTGGAGAGCCTCAGATAAAATGTGCTCTGAAAATGCAAATCTTCCTCGGCTTCTTCAACCCCTAGCTCTCATTTAGCTGAGGAGTTGTGCTCAGTCATGTTGTGACTCTGCGGCCCCAAGGAGTGATGCCTGCCAGGCTCCTCTGTCCCTGGAATTCTCAGGCAAGAATACTGGATTGGGTTGACCCTGCCTTCCTCCAGGGGATCTTCCTGACCCAGGGATTGAACTCACATCTCCTGCTTTGGCAGGCAGATTCTTTACCACCACGCCAAGTGGGAAGGCCCCGGAGTTACTCTTTCTAGAAACCATTTTTTTTTTTGCTATCCATCCTGTCCCATTCCCTATTCTGTGCTTCCGTAGCAACCTGGACATATATCTATCATAACTTTTCCCACATTGTGATAAATTATATTGGGGTATGTCTTTCCCACCACACTATAGCCCCCTTCAAGGACAGACTTGCTGCCCAGTCACAGGAAGTGTGGTCAGCCCCTTCAGGGTCCGCTTCCACCACAGACAGCCTCCTGGCCAGCCCACAATCAACGGCTGCTCAAGTTGGGGATTTCAAGTGCCAATCAGTTCAGCCAGGTTCAGGAAAACTCTGATGGACAAGTTTTGCTCCAGAGCTCCTTGCTAGATTCAAAGAGATTCTGTGGGGCTTGCATTGCAGTTCAGATTCTCTCTGTGCTCAATCCTGTTCCTCAAACATTCTCTTCACAGGTGTTGATCCCTAATAACCATCATGTCACACAAACTGCATCTCGCTGTTTGCCTTTGGAGAGCCCAACCTATAGCACAGAATATGACCTAGTTAGTTTTTTTAAAAAAATTAACTAATTTATTTTGATTGGAGGCTAATTACTTTACAATATTATAGTGGTTTTTGCCATACATTGACAAATGAATCAGCCACGGGTGTACATGTGTTCCCCATCCTGAACCCCCCTCCCACCTCCCTCCGCATCCCATCCCTCAGGGTCATCCCAGTGCACCAGCCCTGAGCAACCCGTCTCATGCATCGAACCTGGACTGATGATCTATTTCACAAATGGTAGTATACATGTTTCAATGCTATTCTCTCAAATCATCCCACTCTTGCCTTCTCCCAGAAGTCTATTCTTTGTATCTGTGTCTCTTTTGCTGTCTCACATATAGGGTCATCATTACCATCTTTATAAATTCCATATATATGTGTTAGTATACTGTATTGGTGTTTCTCTTTCTGGATTACTTCACTCTGTATAATGGGCTCCAGTTTCATCCATCTCATTAGAACTGATTCAAATGAATTCTTTTTAATGGCTGAGTAATATTCCATGGTGTATATGTACCACAGCTTTCTTATCCATTCATCTGCTGATGGGCATCTAGGTTGCTTCCATGTCCAAGCTATTGTAAACAGTGCTGTGATGAACACTGGGGTACATGTGTCTCTTTCAATTCTGGTTTCCTCGGTGTATATGCCCAGAAGTGGGATTGCTGGGTCATATGGCAGTTCTATTTCCAGTTTTTGAAGGAATCTCCACACTGTTCTCCATAGTGGCTGTGCTAGTTTGCATTCCCACCAACAGTATAAGAGGGTTCCCTTTTCTCCACACCCTCTCCAGCATTTATTCTTTGTAGACTTTTTGATAGCAGCCATTCTGACTGGCATGAGATGGTACCTCATTTATGCCTTAGTTTTTGTGAATCTTAGCACCCTGTCACAGTACACACCAAATCTGTTTTTGTTGAACCAGACAGTTCACTATAGACTTAAAAAATACTCTTATTCTTGATTTTCTGTCTCCCTCTCATAGAGAACCATATGATGAAAATCACTGTGAAGCTTTTTAACATTGTTAAACATGTCATCAATAAAGAAAAATGTAATAAAGTGGTGCTGAAATATCTTTAAACAAATTATTCAGCCAATATAATCTTTATGTGCTATCTGTATAATTTTTAACATAATAACGTCGTGTTTTAATATACTGTCAGTCTCTTTATAGACTGTTAAAGTGATGTCTTTGTTTAAGCCTTGGGAAAATGTTTATTTGTTGGTAGAAATGAAGGTGATCCCCAAAGTGCTTTTTAATATGAAGAATGTAGTGTGGATTCTTAGTTATGGGTTTTCCTTATAATACATTTTTGTTTGTTTTTGAACAAAGATGCTTTAGAAGAGAAATTGGGAGAACTGAAGGAAGCAACGAAGAGAAGAAATAAATGAGTTGCTAGCAATGTCAAGAGGCTGTGAGTGACATTACAGCTGCTAAATCAGTTCTCACTGCAATTAGGATAGGGAATAAAATTGGAATAAAAATCTAAAGAAAACACAGCAAGTACCAAATAATACTCCTTCTACTACCACCTACCTGAACAAGCCCCCCACAAAGCCACAAAAAAACTTGTCTAATAATCTAACATCATGCCAAGTATAGCAACTTTGATTTCCAATTAACAGGCACTAAATTAATCTAAATGCAATGGTTTTTGCAGCTCCAAAGATGCCAAAACTCAAGGGAGAGGGGCATTCAAATGCAGAAGGATGAGAGAAGGCAAATGGGGGTAAGACAATTTGTGAGACCACAAGGGGACTTGATATAGAAATTGTCTATTCAAAAAAGCAGAGTTTATCAGTTTGTAAACTAGTATCCATGTTGTCCTCTGAAAATGATGGAAATTTTAGTTAAATTAAGCATTGTAAGTTTCAAATGCTTTGCAACTGTTTTTTCAAAAAACTGTTGCAGTCAAAACCACAGAGGCAAGATTTCCCTGGTGGTCCAGTGGTTAAGGCTCAGCACTCACAATGCAGGGGACATAAGTTCAACCTCTGGTTAGGGAACTAAGGTCCCACATATTGCATAATGTGGCCTAAAAAAAATCCTAGTAAACTACTTTCAGATTCTGTAAAAGAAATAAATGCAAAAAAGTCCATTGAGGCAGTAAAAAGATCAGTGGTTGGGGGAGGGATGAAAGGAAAGAATGAATAGATGGAGCACAGGGGATGTTTAGAGTACTGAAATCATTCCATATGAAACTGTAATGGTAGATACATGACATTATGCATTTGGCAAAACCCATAGAACTGTACAACATAAAGACTGAACCCTAATATAAACCATGAAAGTGAAAATGAAAGTCGCTAGTCGTGTCCAACTCTTTGTGACCCCATGGACTGTTATAGTCCATGGAATTCTCCAGGCCAGAATACTGGAGTGGGTAGCCTATCCCTTCTCCAGTGGCTCTTCCTGACCCAGGAATCAAACCAGGTTCTTCTGCATTGCAGGTGAATTTTTTTTACCAACTGAGCTATGAGGGAAGCCCAATATAAACCATAGACTTTAGTAAATAATAAAGTACCACTATTGATATGTCAATTGTAACAAATGTAACACATTAACGCAAGATGTTAATAACTGGGGAAATTGAGGGTGGGATGGTGGGGGAGGAAGTGTATAGAAGCCTTCTGTACTTTCTGCTCAGTTTTCCTTTAAACCTAGAACTGCTCTGAAAATAAAAATACATTTATTAACACACACACACCCCATTTCTTTTTAATGGATGGAATAAATCATTTGTTAATTCATTCAACCAGTATGTTTTAGGAGCTATCAGGTGATAGCATTCCAAGAGCTGGAGATTAGAGGTCAGTGGTGACATGGATAAGGATTTATAAAGACAGTTCTGCTCACTACTTCAGTGGAAACCAGCAAACAATGAGAGAGGGCAGGAGAAGGAAATGGCAACCCACTCCAGTATTCTTGCCTGGAGAATCCTATGGGTAGAGGAGCCTGGCAGGCTGTAGTCCATGGTGTTACAAGAGTCAGACATGACTTAGTGACTAAACCACCGTGTAATATCTTTGTATATGATAGATCATAACTAGACTTATCATGGTGATTATTTTGAAATGTAC